TTTACCATATTCCCGATCTCAAGCGACAAAGTAAAGAGCCCGTGGTGCAGTGGTAGAGTGGCAAACTCAATGAACAAAGGTCTCCGGTTCGAAGTTCGGGGGTTCCGACCCTCGAGATTGCGTATGACTAGCTGTTGACGGCTAACAAGCCAAAAATGATCCTTTCGGTCTCCCTCTGCATTGGTTAGATCCATTACACACAAAAATGTTGAAAATGTTACAAGCTAAAGACACCCATTTGGCGCTTGGTGGATAAAAAGAGGTCTCTCTAACCGACTCACAGGAATGAAGTCCTCATCGTCATTCGAGAGTTGCAAGAATCGTTCGATACGGGCACTCGAGTGTTCCGGACCCATGCCTTCGTAGCCGTGGGGTAGCAGGACCACGAGATTAGATTGTCGAACCCATTTCTGCTGACCACAAGAGACGAACTGATCGATGATGCATTGAGCAGTGTTAGCGAAATCGCCAAACTGGGCTTCCCAGATGACTAGGGCGTTGGGATTGGTCAGAGAGTAGCCCATCTCGAAGCCCATGACGGCGTACTCGGAGAGACTGCTGTTGCAGATGGTGAAGGGTGCCTGCTTGTCCGACAGATGATTCAGGGGCACATAGGTCATCTTGTCCACATCCTATGGAGAGAGAGGAAAAAAGAGAAAGACCAAGAGGCTGGGTGTAATAAACCAGTGGTGTACAGTTTACAAAGGGACGAAAAAACTGTCAAACGGCAACAGGGAGGGGGGGGGCAATAGTAATCCTTCAAGAAGACCGCTACAAACAGTCCAGAGTACGCGCATTGGTGGAATCGGGAGAAGCAAGCATGCAATGGCAGAAATAAACAAATAGACGTGGAAGAAACGACTGGCGAGCTAACTGCTCACCAATTAAGTAGATACGGGGCCGGCCACCAACACACCCTTGCGGAGGGGGGAAAGGAGGGGCGGTGTGTCAAACAAATTTTAATTAAGGCGTTTTCTCCAGTTGGTGCATGGTGCCTCTTCCAGGGGCCTTTCAACGCTTTTTGTAAACAACATGCAACAGAAGGCCGTATCAACCTACACAATGAACAGACCAAAAGCATGCAAGTACTGCAAGAAAACATACATGTTGGACAAAAACCCGCACCTTAGCCACGAGCCCAATTTGTGGACAGAAGAGGTTTGAGCGTGCGCCGTGTCAGGGACGGTCTCGAGCCGTGACATGTGCTGATTAAAAACACTGTGCATGCATAGGGTGGGGGCTAGTAAATCCATTACACACATATAAAGTCTAACCGCCCCATAGTGGCGTGCGCAAAACAAAATACACGCGTGGCGGAGTATCACGTTGCGAGACGACAAAGCATCACTTACATAACCTTTTGGGGACGGCGGACTGGCCAGCTAGACCGAATGCAAATAGGCTGCCGATTGGAATTGCCATTTGTTTTAGGACGAAAGGCAAAACAATTAATTTTTTGCAAAGGGCAGATTTTCTAAGCATTTCTCATCGGGGAGCATTAATTTAAAGCAAGCAGCATGAATTGATAATGATGATGCGTACTTGTCAAGCGCCGACGACAGATTTCT